TGTCATCTGTTATAAAAATGGCGTCCAACATGAGGCGGAGATTAGACGCATCTGTGACGCAGATTTTTCGTGTGTCATTTGATGGATCACTCTATGACGTGCAGAATTTTAGTTTATTTTTTTTATTAACTGCCTATGATTTATGAATTAAGTTTTGAAAGATTTTTCCTACAGAGATAAGAAACTTTATAAAACGGTTAGTGTAGATTTCTCAGAGATGAGATATTTTCCCGCAGTAAAAAGTATCCTATATGTTGACCCGGATAACCAGCTATCATCATACCATATTTCATCAAAATCTGTCTTTTCTCGTGATGCATTTCCAGACAGACAGATAGTCAGGCAGACAAACAGAAATTCCAAAAACTATTGAAATCTGTATCGATAATAATGACTATTACAATAAGATTTTCCAAAAAATATTTAATGTACAGATTCGACTCAGAATTTTATTATACGTATAGATTTTACAAATGCGTCTAATAAATAGCAAAGGTTATATAGACAATATACATCACACAACAGCAAGTGCTTTATACCCACCCACACTTATCTGTTTAAGTACGTCTTCCGCGGCCTCCAGACATTGCAATAAAAAGAAGCATCCTTTACGACGCAGCTTAAAATGTAAGACAAATAAATTTAATAGTTCATATAAAACAATCCTTAACTCTTCTATACGAAGAATTTCTCATAGCTTATTTAGTTATTGGCTATATATTTATAAAATAGAACAGGGAGTTCCCTGGATGTTCCCTAGATATTCCATCTTCATAAAAAAATTATGTGTTCTGTGAATAGTTTTTTAACAGCCCCGCTTTACCGCTGTAAGAATTATGATCATTATCTTTTATTTATTTAAGATTTTATTAGATTCATCAGTGGCAATTACAATATCACTATTCACTGATGATGATGGTCTCCTAGCCGATTCCGGCCACGGCGGCCAATCTCAATGAGATTAGCCAACTGCGCAGGAGATATTATAGTGCTCAAGTGTACGTGCAGACACAAGTGCACTCTCTATTCCTATCACTCTCATATTCCGATGGGACGACCACTCGACACGACCGGTGAGAGTTAAGCCGCAGGACCGACGGCTTTACGTGCTCTCCGAGGCACGGGGGTGAAACACCGCCAACTTCCCAACTCCGGGCTGTTACTGAGACTTACTATACAGGAAGACTCAATAACTAAACTTGGCCCGACCCGGGACTCGAACCCAGGACCTCCGGGTGTGCAGCCGTACATGCATGCACCAAGGCAGTTAAACTATTCACTACTAATTATATATTATTATATACGTTGTTATAAACTAAATGTGCTACCTTTATAGGTGAGTTCCACATGCAATTATAGAGTTTTTTACAAGATAATTATATTATATCTAATTAGATTAAATTGCCTAAATCTTGAATGGCAAATTATTTAAATAATAAATGATTACAAACTAGCACTGCCCGCGGCTCCGCCTGCGTTGAGATGACTAAAAACCAAATTCTAGAGTTTTACATATTAGTATACTCTTACATTGCAGTTTTTGTACTTTTTCTCAGAAATGAGATATTTTCCCGCGGTAAAAAGTATCCTATATGTTGACCCGGATAACCAGCTATCACCATACCAAATTTCATCAAAATCCCTCCAGTAGTTTTTCTGTGATGCGGTAACAGACAGACAGACAAAAATTCGAAAAACCATAGATTCAGCTTCTGCATCGATAATAATGTTTATTATAGTACGATTTTCGAAAAAATATCGAATGTACAGATTTGGCTTAGTTACAATTTTATTATATGTATAGATGATTAAACTACGTATATATAACAAAGCATACCAATTAATTTTATAAATAAATTCAAATTACTTAATAAATAATAAATTAATATTACACTTAATAAAAAAAGGAAGAAATAAAGGAGAAATCAAAGATTTCCTCTCATTCTTCATATTTTAATCTCGAGTCTATTGTTATTGGTTGAATAATTTAACATCATATATTACGAGTATATTCTGAAACCAACAAAGATTTTATATCAGTACATTTTCGATTTCTTCGACAGTAATTTATTGCGACTGATCCACTCCAATTTATTATAAAGAAAGAACAACCTCATTTGTCTGTCAACAATAAGTGCTACTTGTCTCATGTAATATGCTTAGTCTGACGTACGAGGGAGGAAAAAGGGAAATCGTACATGATAATGTCCGCCAGATTAACTGATCTGTCTTTTTTGGTAATCCTATATAGTGGAAGACAAATAACCATAGTTGTGACTTTAGGATTATGGTGAATGAGTTAGAAGCTGATATTAAATAGAAATATTATTTCTTATTTATTTTGTCACCGTAACTTTAAAAATAACGGTTTTTCAAATAAAACGCCAAGTGCTTTAGGGATTGAATAATGAATATTTAGTCAGTTGGATACCATCTTAAGATCTAAAATATTACTATTTCATTTTTACATAAAATAAATTCATCTTACATAAATGTTCCTATTAGTATTAAGTTCCAATTTATTGTTCAATATTAAAGGTTAAATGTTTATAATAATATATATGAAAATATGGGTCTGTGTCCGAATGAAAATAAATTAAAAAAAAAACAGCATATGACAATATTAACACATGTGCAAAATGCTTTAGTAAATTAAAAATTATAATAACCTCACTTATTATAAATACTTAATTATACAATACGTCGATAAAATTGAAAGGGGTCTTAGTACATTAGTACATAATAAATTAATTGGCAGTAAGCAGTATGTTTTAAAACAATTAAAATTTTTGGTAATAATAAATAGAAGTTTATGTACAACTGCTAGTCTATACATATGTATAATAAAATTCTAACTGATGTGAGTCGAATCTGTACTTTAATATTTTTTGGAATATCTGATTTAAATAGTCATTATTATCGATACAGAGGCCGAATCTATAGTTTTTAGAATTTTTGTCTGTCTGTCTGTGAACGCATCACAAGAAAACCACTTAACAGATTTTGATAAAATTTAGAATGATGATAGCTGGATATCCGGGTCAACATATAAGATACTTTTTATTGTGGGAAAATATCTCATCTCTGATAAATCTATATTAAACGTTATAACGTTACGTTAGATAATAAAATTATTACACATATTCCAAGCTCTTTACTTCAAATGAGAGGTCGTTAAACTCTGTATTACGTAAGCAGACTTAGGGGATGGGGGCTCAAAGCTATCATATTTTTGCTGACAAAAAGGTTTGAGGGTTAAAAGTCGTCAATTCTTCATTAAAATTTTTAAACAGGACAAAAAAATTATGAAACTTGAATAAAAAATTACTTCTAAAGAAGCGCTACCTTTTTTTTTGTTGTCGCTGGGGAAACCCATCATGGGGACCCTGCCCGCCGTCATAACGGACAAGGTACTGTGAGACTCCTACTCACTAAAACCCACAGCGGAACCCTTCGCCGCAGTGCAATGGGGCGCTGCAGAATCGCTTGCGCACTCACTACAACAACCCAAAGAAGCGCTACCTACTTACTCGTTAGTTCATTTTTAAGGTTTAAAAACTAAACAGGCTATTCAATAGTGATTATGGTCGAATTTCAACTACTGTATAAATATTAACACGAATAAAATATCTTTGATGACACGTTTGGCTCAGTTTGTAGTGACCCTACTTGCTGTGCCAGCGGTCGCGGGTTCGAGTCCCGCTGGCGGCATTCATTTGTGTGATGATCACGAATGTTTGTACTTCAGTCATTGGTGCTTATATTTATAATATATATATATATATATTTAGAGTTACATATGTGTAGTGTATCAATTATCTGGTATCCATAACAAAGCCTCGAATCTTACCATAGAAGTAGATGGTGATGTGTGTTAATGTCCAAACATATTTATTTATTTACTTATATTTATTCATCTGATCGTTTAATAAATGATATTGTTATTTATTTCTTTTCACTTCACCAAGGAATAGGATTTGCACGTTAAGCCAAATTGAAAGTCTACGAAAGCTGAGCTACCTGTTGAGTTCGGTTCACATCATTATAAAGGAAGTAGTTCTTATTACGCTTTAAAACCACACTCCAGAGATGACACTGCTAAATTGAAATCTAAATATATTATTATTACTGTTTCATTATTTATTTATATTTAAAAAATGAAAATTAAATAATAATTTGGATTGTTATTTAAAGCCTACATAGGACAATAATGCTGCTTAATATTGTTTTGTAAGCTTAGACTCGTAAACGTAAACATGACTTATTACGTACCTACGTAAGCACACCGACTTCGAAAATATTTGATTAGGTATGTATAGTAAATGAAAACTGCCAATCAGTTATTTTTTACTTTTTAGTGCTTTTGTTTGAAGTCGGTTTTTATTTTTTTGTTAAAAAGTTTTTTTATGTTTTTTAAAATATCCGATTATGTTGTGTGAAATACGAGTAAACGAGTATATGCTCGTGTAGATACATTACATATTATGTAACCCACACGAGTAGGTCGTTGATATTGTACGATCTAAGTATGATTGGTGGCGCGCGTAACGTATCGAATATTTTTTCTGAATAGGACTTATACGATCAGTTAATCAAAAATACTATCTGAGAGCTGATATATATATATATATATATATAATATATATATATATATATATATATATATATATATATATATTTCATAGTAAAGCATTGTCATACAGTACGTAAGTATATATAATATACTTTCCCGTACTTACTGTATAGTAAATACGGGATCCCAACATGTTTTGTCTTACTGAGATGAAGACATAACGAGAAGGCACATATACTCTATGTGGTAACGGATACAGCGTGAAGATAAAAATATAACGCTAACATCCCTATAACATTGTATAGAAAGTTACAAAAAGGTAATTTTCCAAGCAATATCTCGCATACCGCACCCACGTTTCGATTTCATGATATCGGTCATTGAATTTCAAAACAATTTTGTTATATTAAACTAAATTTCGACCCTAAATTTCATATTTTTTGTCGTTTGGACATGCTATTAGGCATACCACCTGCTCCCTTGACACACGTAAGTGGTTGAGAGACTCACCGACTTCATGAGCTGTTCTAACCTCTAAAACCCTGAGGAGCCCTATTGTCTTAACGGGATCATCACCTGACGCAGAGTGGACTTCGGAGAAGGTGACCAGGTCTGCAGCCCAGGTAAAACGAAGATTCGATTCAGGTTTCCATATCTGTATTATTTAATGCAATTAAAATGTTTTTTTTCTAATACATTTATGTAGGTTGCCTAAATATATATAGGTAATATTAAAATTCTAAGTAGTCTATATGGGGACATTAATTAAATACGAGCTATTTTTGGTTCGAAATAAATGTTTTGAAGAATAATACCCTTGAAATTTTTTCAGCGGGCAAAATGGGACACGTCATAACGAAAGAGAAAAAATATATTATCTTTAAATTTACTTTTTTATTATATTTTTTGACGTCAGATTTTCAATTAAGTATTCCCTCAGTTGATGAGATGATGAGATTTAATGAGATTTTACTGGACGAGGACAGGACGATGACAGTTGTTAAGTGCGTCGATATATCGAATGATTAACGCTCGTGAGTCAATATAGAGGAAAAAAATATATTAAGGTTTTAATTTAAAGATATTTAATTATTTAATTTTTAATTTAAAAATTTTAAATTAAACATATTCAAAGAAAAACATGCGAAATTCATATAATACATAGAATATCATCCTTGGGCAAACCTCGCGTAGTGACTATGTATTATATTTCCATAAGATGCACTCGAATGAACGATTTGCCTTTGGGAATCTTGCTCGGGATATTTGTTTTACTGTTTGCCTTGGATTTGAGTGAGGCTAGAGCATACCTTGTTGAAATTAATAATAGTGCGTATAAAAACTATAAGCAAAAATTTTTACTTATACATATATATATATATATATATATATATATATATATATATATATATATATATATATATATATATATATATATACTTTCTTAAGATTTTTACTTTTTCTTTTCTCCTTTACCTTACTTCAAATAGAAAGTTAAACTTTGTTACATTATTCCTATAGGACCTTTAATCGGACTGGTACGAAGATTTAAAAAAGAACTAAATCTGTCTAGCGATTTTTAAGTACTTAATGCGAGCGACCAACGAGGAGTATTTCAGTTTTATTTATTTATTTTTTATATTGCTTCGCTCGGGTGCGTCCGTAGGTAGGTACAAATAATTCCGTAATTATACTTAATTCTATTGGTTCACATTATACGGTGCCAGTGAAGCTCAGTTGACATGATTTTTGCGACATCCTTCTACAATAATCGTCATATTTCAGCAAATTTACTACAAAACTTTAATGAATTATACACCTAAACCTTCCTGATGAATCACTCTGTTTATTGGTGAAAATCGTATTAAAATCAGTTCGGTAGTTTTTGAGTTATCACGTTCAGACAGACAGATAGACGAGGCGGGGGAGTTTGTTTTATAATATGTAGTGATTAATTAAAATATGAACCAAATCTGTCTGAATTAAAATACGAATTTTACATTTATTATTTCGATTGTAGAGATTTTTTATTAATTTTATTTTAAGATGGTAACGCGGGAAGGGTTTTCGTATATGTATATCTAATATTATAAGTTAATAGGAGACTATTAAAGCACTTGTGTAACTCCCTAAGTACATTATCTATACAATTCCATCACGGAATGCATGCATGGAATGTCAATTGTAATTATTATAATAATTGACGATTACTTACGTAATTGTGCCTTGTTACATACTCATCTGTATATAATAACGTAATATAATATAATGATAATACATAATTTTTCGCTAAATAGGTAGGTATATACATGACTAAATTCACTTTAAAATAAATTATTTCACTTTTAGAATGATTTTTTATCAAGAGATTTTTATATATATACACACATATATATATAATACTACGATTAGCGTGTTCTAACCAATGAAAATTAATCATAAAAATTGATTTGAAATTGGAAAGATATCGAGTCGATTATTGCAACAGGTAATTTGACTGTTGTCTGTTTGTGGTTTGCAGTTTTTATTGGCTACAAACATGAACGATTCGTCCATGGCTACAAAATACAAAATTAGCTTTTGGTAAATGCTAGCAGGTAGCCGGTAGGTAGGTTTCTTTTGAGTTCAATTGAAATGAATAGTGGAGAAAAGAAATAAACATTACATCAAATTTTGTAACTTTATTCTTAAATATTTATTTATTTTTATATAATTACTTTTAATTTACTTTTTACCTGTAACTTTTTCTACTTTTATAAATAATGCCATCTTGTAGAGTAATTTCGTTCTACTTCGCAGCCTTGTGAGTAATTAGTACTTTCAAGATAATAATAGATGGCGCGGGTGTGTATGACTTGTTATTTAAATGTATTTTAAAATAACCATTGAAGTATCTTATAAATCTTTAATAATATTAATTAACTATTTAGAATTAATTATTGCGTAATTTAAACAACATAGTATAAAATATAGATGCCTGCCAGTCATTGCCTGGCAAGTGGCAACATTTATTTAAAAAAAGTTATACACAAACAACATGGTGGATCAGCTGTTTTCATTTTTCCTGAGCTCCGAATTGTTTCTATAAAACGAGACAGTGTTATGGTCACATAGCCATGTGTGAATTAAAATGGGCTCAATCGCATCGGTGCTGCAATGGCATTGTCAGGCGTGCGGTCAAATCAATCCTACGGAGAGTGTAAAGTGTTTAAAATGTGGTACAAAGAGAATATCTGGTCATGACAGTGATATACAAAAACGATATTACACCGGTGATTCTTCTTCGGAATACGCTTCGCGGACGGAAAAAAGCGGTGGAACAACTCCTGGCTCGGAGGCCATCGTTATACCGACAACAAACAATTTCAATAGGTGAGTTTTAATTCAAATTATTGACGTACGATTTCATTGTTGCTTGTGTCAAAGATTATCGATTTTTCCCAGTCCATATTTAGGTTATGTTTCCATTGTATTTAGCGTTTGCGTGTGTGTATTCGTAGTTCATTATCGGAATTGTCGACTGGTTTTCTTTTTGTGGCGGGGCTTAGTCATTATTTTAATAGAAACTATGGTTTCAGCCCGCGTACAATGATTGTTGGTATGTATTGTCGTTTAGTCGTTTCTGGTTTATCTATTACTTAGTGAGATATAAAAGTGGTGGCACTTTAGTTTATTTTGGATATTTTAATTGAATACATGTGATATTGGATGTTTTAGTTCAATTTGTAAGTAGTTAAAATATGTAAGTTCAGTTTTTATCCTATTAATTTCATTTTATCTCTAATTAACTTCAACTCTTTGTTTATATTTCACTTCTAATATTTTAACATGTTATACTTATTTTGATTTACTCACTATATTTAAAAACTAAAATATCTTAGTAAAATATTTACTATTCTCCTTACTTAATATTTGCTTAGCTATCTATTTTTAAACTTTTATCAAAAAATCTTTCATAATACATAAGCATTAATCACAAATAATAATAATGTATAGTGCCAACTTTCAACTGTTTTTAAGTTATTTTATTACAATACATGTATTCTAAATTGTATCATAATTTTTCTTTTTATTTTTATGTTATACCTAGGAAAATTACTCTTCACAGTTTATTTCAGCTGTTTATATGAAAGATTGTTGATAGTACTAAGGCTTCCCAGTCATAAGTCTTAATAATTATAGTCTGACTAGCGACTCAACCTTGTTTCGCATTGGGTTCATCCTTAGACAAAAACAAATTATCCCACGGGAACCATACATTTTTCTGGAATATAAAGTAACCTATGTGCTATATCAGACTATAATCTATCTCTGTGCCTAATTTCATCCAGATCCGCTAGATAGATTCAGCTATTCTGGTGTGAAAGAGTAACAAACATCGAAACAAACATCCATCCTCACAAACTTTAATATTTATAATATTAATAGTATCTATTGTTTCATGCTATTTGCAGTTTTTTCAAAATTTGTTCATTCTTTTTTTAAAATGCTTAACACTTAATAAGTACATATATGTTATATCTGCAATTTTATATATCGATTATTATTATCTCATTCTGAGACTAAGATTAATTTAAATGTGGAAACATTGTATATTATTTGTATAATAAACTGTACATTATTGACATAAAAAACAGAGCAAAAAATTTAATTAAAATTAATCTAAGTCTCAGTATGAGATAATAATGATGATGATGATGTTCTCCTAGCCGATTCCGGCCACGGCGGCCAATCTCATTGAGACTAGCCAACTGCGCAGGAGATATTATAGTGCACAAGTGTACGCGCAGATACAAGTGCACTCTCTATTCCTGTCACTCTCATACTCCCGGGGGGACGACTGCTCGACACGACCAGTGAGAGTTAAGGCGCAGGACCAACGGCTTTACGTGCTCTCCGAGGCACGGGGGTGAAACACCGCCAACTTCCCAACTCTGGGCTGTTACTGACACTTACTATACAGAAAGACTCAATAACTAAACTTGGACCTACCCGGGACTCGAACCCAGGACCTCTGAGTGTGCAGCCGTACATGCTAGCCACTACACAACCGAGGCAGTTTAATTAACCGAGATAATAATAATTGATATATAAAACTCAACAGGTATAATTGCTTATTATATTTTAACATTTTAAAAGGCCTTCTGGCCTTCCGCCTCCTTCATTCGTATTAGAGTGAGGTGGGAATATATCTCAGTTTATTTTTCAAGGGTAATAGATTAAATTGAACATGTTTAAATACAAATGAATACTATTCATACTTTCAAACCTTCACTTTAAATAAGTAGTCAGTTTTTAAAAGGTGTAAAAACTTTTGTTCATTGTAATATATACATACATCCTGCATGCAAAAAATATTGTATGGAAATGAACTGTCACGCTTGAGTCAGTCGTGTGTATTCCATTTTCTTTCCCTATGCCATTAAAATAGTTATAAATAGGAAAAGATATTTTTTATTGTTTTACAAATTAATATTTCATATAGCATTGTACTTATTTGTATAGTGTTTATAAAAAATACATTTTTTAAAGTGTCAAAGAGTATTAAAGCTATTTTATATATGAAAATAATACTCACTAATTGTAACTTATTGATTTTTAGAGTATAATTGTGATTAATTTTTTTTTGTAACCGTCAAACAAAGCCAGGGTATGTCTCTACTTTAAAATGTTAATGATTGTATATGTATTGTAGTGTATCCTTAGTCAAACTGATGGGGATTTAACTGAATGCAAAAGATGAGAGAAAGAGAAGTATGGTAGAGGTTTAGGGGACGCTTACACTGTATTATTTAATAAGCTAAAAAATATAAATAATTTAAAGTAAAAAATATGTAAAATTAAAAATAACTGTCCATTTCTTCATATTATGTACTAGCGACTCACCCTCGCTTCGCTCGGGTTCATCCCTAGCTTGCTTCTCAATACAAACTTTCATCCTCATTTTTACTCCCTTAAGGGATGATTTCCGGGAGAAAAAGTATGCTATGTCCTTCCCAAGGTCTTTATCATACTTTATCTCTTAGAAAAAAATAGCTTTTCTATTTTATTAATCCCCAACGTAAAATAAGAGTGCTATAAATCTAACTTGTGTATCTGTGTGTCTGTCTGTAGCATCGTAGCGTCCCAAACGGATGAACCGATTTTAATTTAGTTTGTTTGGCTTGGAAGGTGACTTATTTTATGTATGTATTGTAGCGGATGGTCGTGTGTGGGGTCAGCGCCGTTGGCGAGCCGCGCGTGGCGTTGCGGCTGCGGCCTACGGAACGTGTCCGCCTCGTGGCGGTGTGCAGCGTGCGACAAGATCGCTTCCCATGCGCCTGTTTACAGGTTCGATTACTGTTCGTTTTGTTTTTCACTTAAGCTAATATTGTCAATTCTATTCAATGAATATTTTGCTTCTAATAGCTATCTCTATATCTATGTGGAACGAGACGTCGAGGGAGATTAAGATTGTTATACTTTATTAAATTTTTATTAGTAATTTGTATTTACAATAAAAAATAATTTTAAACATATTCTTTGAGGTGGATCATTGCTGGAGTATGATTTGACTGGAACATGGCTCTTACGGAGTTTGAATGCACTTTTCTTGTATTTCTTTCGAATTCTGGCATTAAAATACGTTACCGATAAAGACCGAGACCTTTCTTCCAATAGTTGGATACCAGACTGCTAGAGTTTTGTCAATTTCAAAAATAAGTATCAAAATATGCTGTTGACTTTAGCCGTTTTTAATCAAATGTTAAATTTTTATATCTAATATTAAATTATATAATATAAAAATACATCAGAAAAGAACAAGATGTTACTAATCTATGGTCTTATTACAGATTGTCTGATGACGAGGAACAATCTTCAGGGATGACTGACAAGGATAAGTCTGACCAAGGTAAGTCGAATTGTATAACTATGTGTACCTTTTAATTTGTTTAAAACTATCTGTGTCTTTATGGAAAATAAAATTACTGTTTTTTTTTATATTTACATGTCTATAAATAGCATTTACTCACTTTTGTAATCTTTTTTTTATTACAGACCACAGCATGATAAGATCGAACACTCTAGCTGTACCTTCATATAAACCTTCGTCAAGTTATTCTGGTGGTCGTCCTTTGAATCTTGATGTGCAATCTCTGCGTTTGTCCCCTACTCAGATCACTGACCATGCTCATGGAGTCACTCGGTCTCTGTCCCACGGTTCAGTGATTAATTTTCAGCAGAAATGGTGGAATGTTGATGAAACCAGGGGAACTATCAATAGGCCAACTAGTCTGTTAGTCTCAGAACGATATGGCACTTCTTCGTATCACCCAAGAGAGTCGTTCCTGAGAAGTCTCCACACGGTTACAAGAAGACCGAAGAAGTGTAATGAAAGCAAGTCAAACTGGGAGTTGAATTATGTGAAAGAGTACCAAAGAGAGCAGAGCAGAGGTCTCCATATGAAGAAGTGGGCCTGCAGCAAGTGTACTCTGGAAAATTCGGGCATCAGAACCCATTGTGAAGCTTGTTTGTCGCCCAGAATATCACCGCTCTCAAGGATTTCGAATACACGAGGTCTAAGTGTGACGACTTTGGGCAGACATGAAACACTTAGTGGTCGGGATGGAGCGACATCTCTGCCCTCGTCTGGTGGTATTATGATAACTGTACCGGATTGGCCCCAAACTGCCACTACTTTAGGAGACTCCTTCCAAAGGTCAATAAGTGCTCAAAACTCACCGGAAACCAGACCCACTTACCGGCGATCGTTTTCAGAACAAACAAACGAAAATCGACCCGTCGGTAAAGTTATATCGAGTAGGCGAAGTTTGAATGATTACCAAAAGTCATTAGCAAGTTATTGTGGGACGTTAACTAAACCAGAAGAGAGGGACAGGGTTAGTGATAAAAAGGAGGAAAGTGTTGAATTAAACGACAAAGAATGTAGTTGGGATACGAATGCAGAGGGTGTTATATACGCTTTACCCAATAAGGGTAAATATAAGGATTTAAACCTTCAGTTGCAAGTAAACAACAATGGTACGAGATACTCCTACGTGTCCGTCCAAGATACGAAAACGGTGATGAGCAATTCCCAAAACGAGGTGGTCTATTCTAATGATATAGGGGATGGTGATTATGCAAGGATAGATGAATTGTTGGGAGCGGAAAATTGTATTTCACCAGTGGGTGAGAGTAACATACGGACTTCCCATATAGGGAAGGAGTCGGGAAAAGTGTTTAATATGCTGCCATCTATTGGCAAAGTGTCGCATAATCCTCGGGAGCCGTCTAAAGTGCCTTCAATCCAGCTGACGTAAGTTTTTCTTTAAAGTTAACTTAGTATTTTCTATTATTTTGTCGTTCATTACAAAATATTTTAAATATACCTGTTCGGAAGCAATTCTCTAATTGATAGTGAAAACCGTATCGGAATCTGTGACAAAATGCGTGAAATTAGAACTTTGCGTACAAACAAACGTAAATAACGACTTTATTTTATACTATTGAGTCAAGATTATAAATGCAAAAGTGTGTTTGTTGATTTGTCTGTATGTTACGCAGCATCAGTTCAATGAATTGATGTGACTTTTTGTGTAGATATTGTGTATGAACTGATGTATAAATGATCATGAAAATATTTTCCGTTGGAAATTATTATTAGTCTCTTAAGGATTGTATGTCTTATACATTCATTATATACATATCTATTATTCATGTTGTTGCCTATTTGGTATAGTGGCTAGCATGTACAGGAGATCGAGAAGTCCTGGGTTCGATTCCCGGGCTTAATGGTTTCTGGATTTTTCTGTCACGAAAGGTTCAATAACCTATTGTTATGATGACCGTTCCTCGCAGTGCATGTTAAACTATCGATCTGTCGATTGTGTCGAATTGTCGTCCATTTGGATTACGAAACTTAAAGGAGTGGAAACTTATGGATTGTATCTGCATTTGTCCCATGCAGTTCACTGGTCTGTCAGATTGCCCGCCGTAACCGAAATAGGACGCTATTATTATTCATTACCATATAATAATTATATAGTAAGAAGTTTGTATTATCTATACATACCTATAATAAAATTCTAACTGACTCGAATCTGTACATTAAATATTTTTTGGAAAATTTTGTTGAAACAGTCATTATTATCGATACTGAGGCCGAATCTATAGTTTTTAGAATTTTTGTCTGCCTGTCTGGGAACGCATCACGAAAAAACTCTGGAGAGATTTTGATGAAATTTGGTACGATGATAGCTGGGTTAACATATTATAGGATAGTTTTACTGCGGGAAAATATATCATCTCTGAGAAATATATAAGTTTGTAGACATGTTAATTTATCAGTTACAATGTACATTTAATAATAGAATCTGTAATTGTTTTAGGCATCGAGCTGGCTAGGTTTTTGTATGAAGGTCAACCAAAAATAGTTTGGTTTGCGTTGAAATTATTTGATAAAGTCAATGCTCCATAAATTGTTTGTTATTCATGTTTTAGCGGTATATAGGCTACGTATGTTTATTAAACTAGGTCGGGTAAACAAGCTCGTAATATCAGTTCATTTATATTACGAATACGAAAAAGTTGCTATATATAAAAATATATAATTTGCTCACAGTAATATTCTCTTATTTATAAAGTAACAACTACATAAATCTGATGACTGAAGACTGTAAAAACTCAAATCTTTAATCACCGTGTGTCAGTCTGCATATCTTCTCCGAATTAACAAATTTTTTAAGGACCACTTTCTTAGCTTAGAAGAACAATGTTAAAGAAAATTTGAACTTTTTAATGTTCTCTAAACGATACATTCATCTCGAAAGATACATCACTGAGTTGCTAAATATTTTAGATTATTATAAATAAAACTTTCTTTTCGGATTTTTCCCACGGGCTTTGATTTTTTCTGTTCCTGACTTTTCAAACGCTTTACAGCAATCATGGTCAAGTTGATGGTTATTAGGTTTATTCATTAAAAGTTAGTTTGCGCAAGAGATACTATAGGGCACAAACAAGTGAGCTCTCTATTCCTCTCACTCTTATACTCCGGTGGGACGATAATTCGACACTCGCAATGGGAGATCAAACGAAGAACATGTGTTTTCCGAGGCACGAAAATAAAACAGCACCAACTTCCATCTACGCGTTGTTCCTGAAAATTTCTCGACAGAAAAACTCAATAACTGAACTTTGCCCAAGCTGGGGCTCAAGCCTAGAATCCTCTAACCCTCAGATCTGCAGCCGTTCATGTTAGCCACTAGAACACCGAGGCAGTAAAAAGTAATATATACTGGTATTATATATTAAAGGCGTGAAGCGTCAGCCCGCATGTGGCAGTGCAGCGAGTGTTGGTTCGCGTACAACGCGTGGGGCGCGCGCTGTGACGTGTGTCGGAGCGCTAGGCCTCCGCACGCGGTTACGCTCGCGCCGCCGCCTGAGAGAGAACCCAGGAGCAGGTGAGAGGGGGAAGGGTTAGAGGGTAAAGGAGTAGGTGGTGGGGTGGGGTTAAGGGGGGGGGGGAGTTGTTTTAAATTAAACAGGCCTAGATAGGAATGTATACTTAATATACATACATATAAAGCTGAAGAATTTGTTTGTTTCTTTGTTTTATTGAACTCGTAATACCCTATTCATTGAGGAAGGCTAGAGGTTATCTTACATCACACTACGTCCTCCGAGAGCGGAGTAATTCTACAAAATTAAACGACGCGGGCGTAGCCCCGAAACATCGCTAGTTTGGGAAATACAACCGATTTAGGTTAAGTAAGTTATAAGGGTATAAAAACTCAGCGTCAGAGTATACGATAGCTATTACATAGAAATGGAATGAAATTAAAAAAATTATAGGTATATATTTTTAAATGGAATTGGCTTTATTTGAGAAAAATGTGTATTTTTTCTGCTTATATAACGCTAAAGACGTAATAGTAAAGTAAATAAGACTAAAGACTCGTTTCACATGCTCAATACATGTTTAATGAAGGACGATACGAAATATGCGTATAAAAAATTGCTCCACCCATTTCCAATAATACCATAATACTCGTATATTATGTATAATGGGAACAAAATATTATTACAACTTTTTTATGTTTTGGTATTGTGCCAGGAAACATATTATGGCATAAGAAAAATCATGAATCCAAACTGATTGTTAGAGGCTGACATATAAATCTTCGAACTGTATAAACTGAATGCTTTTAATCTTTTTTTGCTGACAACGATCTTATAAAATACAATATCAGATAAATATGGTAGAATATCTATATAATATAATATATACATATAATAAAATTCTGAGTCGAATTTGTACATGAAATATTTTTTGGAAAATCTTATTGAAATAGTCGTTATTATCGATACAGAGGCCGAACCTATAGTTTTTAGAATTTTTGTCTGTCTATCTGTCTGTAACCGCATCACGGAAAAACCGCTGGAGGGATTTTGATGTTTGGTATGATGATAGCTGGTTATTCAGGTCAACATTTAGGCTACTTTTTACTGCGGGAAAATATCTGATCTCTGAGAAATCTATATTAACTGTTAAAACGTAGAAAAGAACTCGAGCGGAGCAAGATTGAGTCGCTAGTATCAGATAAATATGGTGGAAGATAATTCAATAAACATAAGTGATAAGACATCATAAGGCATTGTTGAAACGCGAATATTTTTTTTTTCTAGGTAACAGTACTAAAATATTGTAACCTAATATTATTACGATCTAGCCAACAAGGCTAATGAGTAATTTAACTTTAACTTAGTTTTATAAAATAATATATATAAGAATGTGTCCATTGGCACTTTTCTTGAAGTCTCTAGTTAAGGCAAAGACACTTTGTTCTTGTGTTCTATATTTGTAGCACTATAATATTATTACTTTTACTACATTACACTATTTTTTTAACACTACACTAGCTCAAAAGGTTTAATTCTTTTGAGCCTTCTCACTATGTCCGTGTTGTCGAGGAGCTGGATTGCCTCGATATTCACATGTTTATGAAGTCTTTGCTCGTGAGCTTCTGCGTATTTTTTTATAACTTTATCGACAATATCTACATTGAGGTCCCGATGAAGATCGTCATTTCTTACGTACCAGGGTGCATTAACTATTCCCCTGAGAACTTTATTTTGCAATCGTTGGATGATAAGAATATTACTTTTTTTGGTACAGCCCCACAGCTGAATACCATAGGTCCACACTGGCATCAGGACTTGTTTATATAATAATATTTTGTTGTGTACGGACAGAGAGGAATGTCTTCCCAACAGCCAATACATCTTTTTGTACCGGAAATCCAATTATTCTTTTTTCTTCTTAACGTGAGCTTTCCAGCGTAGCTTCGCGTCGAGCGTCATTCCTAAATATTTCGCTGTATTTTCATATGGTATGATGTTATTGTTAATAAATATCGTATGGTAATCTTCTTTTTTGTTGGTGAAGTTTATATGAACGCGAATATTTGACATTTTAAATAAAACTATCTTTTCGGATTATTTCGCGTATTTATTTTGATTTTTGGTTCCCGACAATAAAACTCAGTTTTTGCAGTTGAATTATTTTGGGAGTATAAGTTGTATATACCTAAATAAATATATATAAAAATCCAAAAAACTTTTTTAATGTCTTTTACTAACACGATTTTTTTTAAATATCCCAACTGCTCTTATATAATATTTACATATATACTTGTACTATATATTATATTTCTATATATTCCAGAAATAATTCATCATCGGAAGCGAGTGGTCCCAAACCGGAATCTAATAGAAATGAGCCTCCGAAGAAGTTGACAGTTCCCATCGCGTCGCTCGACCACGATCTAAACAGCGACGAATTGTTGTTTGCTGTTGGTAAGTAACGTTGTCGTGGATTTAATTTTTGGATTTAAAGCATAATAATGGAAAGTGCGAGAAAAATGCAATACTTCGATGAAGTCTCTTCATAATAATTATATGTTTATTATTATATAACAGTGATTGTCCTTTTGCTATAGTTTTGTTTGGTTGATATGCTTCCTGGAAAATCCAAGTGGAGCGGGTTCGAATCTCAGCTCTTGGACCTTTGAGATTGATGATGTTCTCCTAGCCGATTCCGGCCACGGCGGCCAATCTCAATGAGATTAGCCAACTGCGCAGGAGATATTATAGTGCTCAAGTGTACGCGCAGACACAAGTGCACTCTCTATTCCTATCACTCTCATACTCCGGTGGGACGACCACTCGACACGACCGGTGAGAGTTAAGGCGCAGGACCGACGGCTTTACGTGCTCTCCGAGGCACGGGGGTGAAACACCGCCAACTTCCCAACTCCGGGCTGTTACTGAGACTTACTATACAGGAAGACTCAATAACTAAACTTGGCCCGACCCGGGACTCGAACCCAGGACCTCCGGGTGTGCAGTCGTACATGCTAGCCACTACACCACCGAGGCAGTTATTTTGACCTTTGAGATTATCTTATGCATTATATATTATATATCTTATACATATACCATCTTATCTTTATTTAAAAACTAAATATGATACTTGGCCATCGTGATGTGCTATAGCTTAATTTAATGTTAGAGCTAAATTATTATGATCTATACCCAAAAAACGAAATTGAAGTGCCTATTCGTAAGTCGAAATAACAACTTTTTACTAACATTATATATGAAATTATATACGGTACTTATGAGAACACACTCACACTCACAACTTTAAAAAAACATGTCTGTTTGTTTGTTTATTCCGGTTAACCTTCGAAACGGCTGGGCTGATTTTAACGGGACTTTTAATGTCAGATAGCTGATGTTATAAAGAGTAACTTAGGCTACTTTTATTTTAGAAAAAGAATTAGAGTTGGTAAGTCGTTAGTTATTAATAACTAGCGACTGACCCTCGCTTCGCTCGTGTTCGTCCTTAGCTTGCTTTCCTAAACAAACTTTCATCATCATTTTCACCCCCTTAAGGGATGATTTCCGGGATAAAAAGTATCCTATGTCCTTCCCAGGGTCGCAAACTATCTTCTTATCAAATTTCAACTAAATCGGTTCAGTAGATCCAGAGATTACCCCCTACAACGTCACAAACTCACAAACTTTACCTCTTTGTAATATTAGTATAGATTAGTATAGATTTACAAAGTCGTTAGCATTTATCAATGTCTAAAAAGTTTGAATTTTTCTATTTCTAGATTCTACCCCTCCACCAGTGCAAGAAACAACGTGGACGTGTTCACGCTGCACGCTCGTCAACGAGGCGTCGGTGGCGGCGTGCGCGGCCTGCGCGGGCTCGCGGCCCGCCGCGCACGCCTACTGGTGAGTTGGGACTGGGGCGTGGGGCTTGAGGTTTGGGGATAACAAAAAAGACATGATACCACATTTCTCTTTATCTCTACCCATCGATCAAAAAAATACTAGATACACAATCGGCGACAAAAAATGTCATCGAACAAGCGCTCATTTGAACATCTGAGCGCGCTTTTAATTTTTATTATTTTTGTGAAAACAACTAGGTTCAATATATATATATATATATATATATATATATATATATATATATAATATCTTTATATATAATTCTTCTGTGAGTGTGTATGTCACTGAACTTCTCTCAAACGACTGGACCGATTTTGATGAAATTTTTTGTGTGTGTTCAAGGGGATCTGGGAATGGTTTAGATTCACAATTTGAATAATAATTTTCATCAAAAAAATTATTAAAAAAAGTTTGAAATTTTCAAATTAAAGACGTGTAGACAGGACAACGTCTGTCGGGTCCGCTAGTATATATATACAATAATAAAATACATTGTTGTATATTTATTTTAACTAGAATAATCACCTAAACACAATTGGTGACAGAGTACTTTTTGGATGGATGCCTCTGCATGTGATATGAAAGCTGATTTGTTTTTCGCCCAAATGGCACTTGTATTGATATTGTCATTCAGGTAGCTTGTCATTCTTGCCATAATTCCGCGCGGTCAGACTTGTACAGTAATAATTAAATGTATATTTGTTTTGTTTATATATTTAAGATTATTTGTAATTTCAGTGTATTTACTGGTCTTGGCTTGATATTTTTTAATTCTTAATAGATAGGTATGTAGATAAAAAGCAGCTAATATATTAATCCAGGACACAAATATAATCCAATACACATTGATATATAAAAACAGATACACATTTCCTAACAAATATCTCTTCAAAAAGTGGCGTCGACATGTGATATTAAGTCAAACTAAAGACTAAAATTTATAAATCGAAAGTTCTAATTGCCTGAACACAAATTCGAAATTACGCACACCACATAAAGTACCCTTTTAAATGACACAACATGCGTTTTAATTTTGTCATCCGAAAAGCAATGCACAGATGCGCTTCTTTTCGAGGACACTTTGAGGCGATTATTATGTATCTTAAGTTTTTGTATATTATTGTATCAATATGATATTTTTTAAAGGTCGTGCAGTTCGTGCACGCTGCGCAACCCGCTGTCGGCGGGCTTGTGCCTCGCGTGCAAGACGCCGCCCGTGCCCAAGCACGGCGTGCCGGGCTCCTCTACTGAAGCTAATTTAGGGGCTGGTTAGTGACTATCTATACTATTATTAAATGGTCATGGTCACGGTGACCACCTATTTACGTCGTTATATTTGACCGTTATAGTAACAGCGTATACGTTGTTCTAGGTTATAATTTATCTGTGTACGTATTTCACCTAAATCTGTCTAGTCGTTTCAGCGTGAAAAAGTAACAAACATATATACATACAAACTTTCGCATGTATAATAATAATCTGATATCACGCTTTAAGCAATTAATATGTGACTGCGACTTTATAGGAATAGGTTTTGTAATGTTGGTTTGAACGACCACACAATAACGACTTTTAGAGTTCCGTACGCGAAGGGTGCCAACGAAACCCTATTACTGAGCCTCTGATGTCTGTTCATCCGTCCGTCTGTCACAGAGTTAATAACAGTATAAATTTCTCAGAGATGAGATATCTTCCCGCAGTATAAAGTTGACCCGGTTACCCAGTTATCATAATACCAAATTTCATCAAAATCTGTCTAGTAGTTTTCGCGTGATGCGTTTTCAGAAAGACAGACGGAAAAACAATTTTTAAAAACTGCTTCGGGTTGGGCCTCTGTATCGATAATAAAGACTATTTCAATAAGATAAGATAGAAAAAAAATTGAATAAACTGATATTATGCTGTCTCTCTTTCCTTGAAAAAGGAAGTTTGCCTAAAAATACAAAAGAATATACTTTTTTTTACTATTCATATTTTCTTCTCAAAAATCGTAAATTACTGACTAATTCCATGAAAAAAATTCCCTTATTCTTTCAAGTAAGTAAATTTGTAGCAAAATCGAGAATAGTGTAGCATAATAACAAATTCGAGTAATTATTTTTGACTTTGTAATTTTTTTGGGATGCTTTTTTTTTCTTTAGTTCTTAATTTATATTCTTGTTTTATCTATTTTTCTTATTTTTTAGTCTAAGATTTAATATATATTACATTATTCTTATGCGTTATCTAGCGAGTCGCAGTCCGTCGCGCCACACGCCGGCGCCGAGACGGGTCTCACGACATAAAACACCGCCTCCGGAACATAAGTATGTAAATGTACATTTTTACAAGTTTTTATTTAATCATTATAATATGAAGTAAAAATCAAAAATCTTTTATTATATAAAAAATATATTCTCTTTGCTCGGCTTCGTCGTTCGGTAAATTATAGTATACGTATTTCACTCTCGAGGCCTCCGACTATCTCTCCATAAATAAACCAGTTCCATATTAATCAAACATTCTATTTATCTGAAAAAATGATAAACAAACAAACACACATTTTCATGTTTACAATATTAGTAGTGTACCTAAGTATGGATAATGAATAATGAATATTATTTTTTACAATTACAGATTACAATGTTTGTTTGTTGGAATTAAATCTTGCAATTGAATATTAAAGTATATAGTTATACTTAACTGATTGAGCTGTAATTTTGCATACACGTTTTTAGTTTGGATAAAAATGCATGGTTCATTGGCAAGTAATGTCATGCTAAACCTAATATTTAGATGTATAAACAACAATATAATGTTTAAAATAAAATATGTAAATCTCGCGACAAGCTTTTAATATCATATAAATTGTGTTATAAACTTATCAAGTTTTTGAAAGCCACGTGCAGTCCGCTAAAACGCACTTATCCAGCGTGGTGGATTATGCCCTGATTCCCTTCATATTGAAGGGAGGCCCGCGCCCAGGGGGAGGGTAAGAAAAGGGCTGAATACATGTATGTGAAAAGTCAAAGTAGAGTAGGAAATTACTATATTCGTCAATTCTTGAATGTTTCCAAAGATCACTCAAAAAAAAACATTCAAACCTAAAATTAAAATTAGTTATTTATTTTAAAAATCAGTTTAAGATGTTATGATAAATTCTACCCCCAAGGGGTCGTCCATTAATCACGTGATGTTTTTAGCAACTTTTTAACTCCCCTCTCCCCCCTAGTGATATGTGGTGAGGTTTAACCCTCCCACCCCCCTCCACTTTCGAACCTCACGTGATTAAGGGACGATCCCCAAGCTAAGAAAAAAAAATTGTTTCGTTCGACGCTGTACGTGTGCGCGCGCAGGGCGGAGGGCGCGGACTGGCCGTGCTCGGAGTGCACATACGTGAACGCGGGCGGCGCGCTGGCCTGCGACATGTGCGCGTCGCCGCGCGCGCGCCTGCTGCCCGCCGCGCCCGCGCCGCCGCGCCTCGACGACGACGACGAGCGTTAGTATACACCATACACCGTACTTGCTACACTATGCTATACTATACTCAGTGTCGGATTTAACCTTAACGCCGCCCCTAACAAGGTAAAAAATGCCGCCCTACTGTCGAATTTTGAATAAAATAGTAAAGTTTCCGTAAAGTTTCAATTTTTTTTAATTGTAATTTTTTAAAAATGCAAAAAAAGAAATAATTTTTAAATGATTTCAATTTTTAGAAGAATGTACTGGTTATTTAATATTATTTAATTAGTTTTTTTAATTATTAATTTTTTGGAAATGAAAAAAAGCGTTTTCGATAACGCGAAAAAAATAATTTTTTTCAACCTCTGAATCCTGCCGGCCCTAAAAGTGTCCCGAGTGCTCCTAGTGTAAATCCGGCGCTGACTATGCTGTACTACATTATACTGTAGTCTGTACTACACCATATTATACAATATAACACTATAATAAGCTACACTATACTAAATCACATAACACATGTGCACTAATATATTATATCATAAGCAATTCGTCAGTCATAAACCGTAAATTTTAGGAAATAATAATTTTATTATTTTGTTAGATTTAAATCATTCATTTCACAATAATTCAAATGTATTTTATTTTTAGTTTAATTTATAATTAAATAAATTAATAATTATAACGTATCCCCTTTCCAGCGGAAGGGTCAGATGGTGAGCGCCAAGAGAGCACTCCCATGGAGATATTGAGGCTGCGCGAGGAAAGCCATGCTTGGACGCAGTGGCAGGAGGTTCTCGCTCAGTGCGCTGCGGTGAGACCTTATGATAATAATATCCATACTCCATACTAATACTAGGCATTGGTAGCCCAGTGGAAACGCGCTCGCATGGGAAACTGAGTGAAGCGGGTTCAAATCCCGGGTTTAGCACCTCTAAAATTTTCATGTGCGAATCAGTTCTAACATGATTACGGTGAAGGAAAACATCGTGAGGAAACCTGCATGTCTGAGAAAACCTAGCTAGTTTTCGAAAGACATGTGAAGTCCGCCAACCCACACTTGGCCAGCGTGGTGGACTACGGCCTGATCCCCCTCGTATTGAAGGGAGGCCCGTGCCCAGCAGTGGGACGTTAAAATAGTGAAAGTGTGTTTTTTTGTTTATTTGTTTGTTCTTCTTTCATGTTAAAACAGAGTGACTGATTGGCTTGATTTTTTGAATGGAGATAGCTGGGAGGGCTGGAGAGTGACATAAGCTATTTTTTACCACGGGAGATAATCTCATTCCCACGGGAAAACATATTATAATAAAACCCACAACAACTCATTATTCCTATGTAAATGTATACATATACTAATATATAGTCTATCTATTCTATATTAATCTTTAATACGTAACTATAATAAAACCCGGCCAAGTGCGAGTCTGACTCGCGCACAAAGGGTTCCGCACCATTATCAATAAAAACGGCAAAAAAATCACGGTTGTTGTATAGGAGCCCCTCTTAAATATGCTTTATTTTAATTTAATTATTTAATTTTAAAGTGAATCTATATCTAAATATTCTGTGAATATTTCAAGCGTCTAACTGTTGCCGTTATCAATATCGAATTTTTGTTGCTTGGGAGCCTCTTTAAATATTTTTTTTATTCTGTTTCTGAGTATTTGTTGTTATAGTGGCAATAGAAATACATCATCTGTGAAAATTTCAACCGTCTAACTATCATGGTTCATGAGATACGGGTTGGTGACAGACGGACAGTCAGACAGAGACGGACGGACAGCGGAGCCTAGTAATAAGGTCCCGCTTTACCCTTGGGGTACGGAACCCTAAAAATAAGTTACATCCACAGACAGGTGACATGTACGTGGACGACTCGTTCCCCGCGTCGCCCCGCTCGCTGTACTACTCGGGCGCGGGCGACGCGGGCGCGGGCGCGGGCGCGGCGGCGCGCTGGCTGCGCCCGCAGCACATACACGTGGACGCCGACCCCCGCCTGCCCTGGGTGGTGTTCCGGGATCCGAGACCCTCCGATATATCGCAGGGTATGTCTTTACTAAACTTATACTTCTTTTGGCACGTTTCGAATAAAATCTATACTAATATTATAAAGGGGTAAAATTTGTGAGTTTGTAACGTTGTGACGTTTTAGGGGTAATCTCTAGATCTACTGAACCGATTTAGATGAAATTTGGTTAGAAGATACTTTGAGACCCTGGGAATGACATAGGACTTTTTATCTCAAAAGTCATCCCTTAAGGGGATGAAAATAGGGATGAAAGTTTGTATGGGCAAAAAAATTAAGTTTTAAATTATCGCGTTTCATAATTATACATTAATTACACTACGAGACTTAACGCGTGAATTCGTAAGTGGTTACCACGACTGCACGGGTGCACGGGTGCAACCCAGTCTAAACTTCGGGAACAAGCCATTTTCACATTCACGCGTTAAGTCCCCTAGCGTAATTATTGTACAAAATTTTTACGACCGCCAAAAAGCGACATGATGAAGTTAGCTGCATTCCTTTTACAAACACAGAATTGTGACATACGGAATGAAACCTTTAGCTATTTTTGTTCTGTTACGCCAAAGAATTATGATTTATTAAGTGCGTATATAAGTACACACACACGTTTATTTATTTATTTATTTAATCATTATTAAGTATACTTACAATACACATGTTAAAACAATTCAATACGATAATAATAAGGAACTATTATAATAATAGATAAAAAATACAAAATTAACGAGATTTAGAAACGGTATAATTTAAAATAAAATAAAAATAAAAATTCGATTTGAGATTCGATTAATTATAATAAAGAATAATTATATGAAAATTGTTATATGTAAATTTAATTCAGTTTGTTATTAATAATATTCTAATAGCTTTAACTCTCACCGGTCGTGTCTCGTGTCGTCCCACCGGCGTATGAGAGTGATGGGAATAGAGAGTGCACGTTGTGTCTGTGCGTACACGCGCTGCACTATAATATCTCCTGCGCAGTTGGCTAGTCTCAGTAAAATTGGTCGCTATCGTCAAAATCGGTTGAGAGCACATTATTAAAGGTGTATTTTCTGAAAAAAGAACCGTCGTTAATACTCTATCTCATATCCATATCCCCAGGTGTCCTGGGCAATTGCTGACTGCTATCAGCTCTAGCTGTGCTGGCGGAGTAGTCGGAAACTTTCGCTCTATCTCTGGATACTCTCCCTCTCTCTCTCTCTCTCTATCTCACTATCTTATATCCATATCCCCAGGTGTCCTGGGCAACTGCTGGCTGCTGTCGGCCCTGGCAGTGCTGGCGGAGCGGTCGGCGCTGGTGCGCAGCGTGGTGGTGCGCGCGGAGCCCGCGCGCGGCGCCTACCAGCTGCGTCTCTGCAAGGACGGCAGGTGGTTGACTGTCACCTTGGATGATCTGCTGCCGTGCAATAGGAAGGGACACTTGGTCTACTCCCAGGTGAGGACTGTGGAGTGGGATACTATGTTAGGGTTAACAATTGATTGACATTTTGAAGATTTACTGTTTATTTGTTCACCAATACTTGTAATTTAAAGTAGAGATTTTAAATATAACTATGTTTCACGGGAGTCTCTCCCGTGACCGTAGTTTTATGTCATGTTTGTTTTAGGCTAAAAGAAAACAGCTATGGGTGCCTTTAATAGAAAAGGCTGTCGCTAAACTACATGGATGTTACGAAGCCTTGGTATCTGGAAGGGCTATTGAAGGTATATTTTTTTTTCAATAAAATTTATTCAGACATTTTTAAGAATTTTCAAATGCTTATAATTCTGTATCTGTGAATTCTTTGGCTCGATTTATAAATAATTTATAGTCACTCATTTGCTTAGTACGCCAAAGTTTTTGTTATGATTTATGTATGTATAATGTACATAGTTTAAACTAGCATAATAGTATCAATTTAGCATTTTAAATAAAACTATCTCTTCAGATTTTTTCGCAGATTTATATTGATACTAGCATTGCCCGCGACTCCGCACACCAAAAACCAAAACCAAACTCTTAGGTTTTACATATTAGTATACTCTTACATTGCAGTTTTTGTATTTTTCTCAAAAATGAGATATTTTCACGCGGTAAAAAGTATCCTATATGTTGATCCGGTTAACCAGCTATCACTATACCAAATTTTATCAAACTCCCTCCAGTGATTTTTCTGTGATGCGGTAACAGACAGACATACAGACAAAAATTCTAAAAACGATAGATTCGGCCTCTGTATCGATAATAATGTCTATTGCAATAAGATTTTCCAAAAAATATATAATGTACAAATTCGGCTTAGTTAGAATTTTATTATATGTATAGATTATATTAAGTAATATAATTTTTAAATAACATGTTAAATATTCGTGTAGATCTTAGAAAGTATTTTTTCTCCTTTTATACATGAACTAACGAATCACCCTCGCTTCGCTCGGGTTCGTCCCTACCTTGCTTCCCAACAAACTTTCATCCCCATTTTCACCCCCTTAAGGGTTGATTTCCGGGATAAAACAATCTTCTCTTTCTCAATTTTCTATAGTTTCCGAGCTTAGTCAGTACAAACAAATTAACAAATCTTTCCACTTTATAATATTACTATAGATGAATGTATAATGAATCCTAAATTAGTGTTTAAATACAATCAACAACCACTTCCAGGTCTGTGCACGCTAACGGGCGCGCCGTGCGAGTCGGTCTCGCTGCAGGCGGGCGGCGCGGGCGGCGGCGGCGGCGCGCCGCTCGAGCAGCTGGACAGGGACCTGGTGTGGGCGCAGCTGCTGTCCTCCAGGCAGGCCTGCTTCCTCATGGGGGCCAGCTGCGGCGGGGGGAATATGAAGGTATACTGTTTTTTGGCTATAGGGTTCAGTAATTCGATCCTTTTTAACGTCTCTCTGTTGGGCACGGACCCACTGAAGTGCTGGCGGACTTTACATGTCTTTTGAAAATTTGCTAGGTTCTCATAATGCTTTCTTAGATTTACGCAAATATTTGACATTTTAAATAAAACTATCTCTTTAGATTATTTCGCGGATTTATTTAGATTTTTGGTTAACGACAAATCAGATGCTTTACAGCAATGCCTTAGCATCAGCAGCGCAGCAGTGCCTACTCATTATTAAACAAAAATGATTTCAAAAATTCAAAAATGGCACCAAAGTACCTTACAATATTTCTTTATTTTAATTGTAAACATTTAAAATAAGTATTATAATTACATACATCAATATTATTTATTTAATTTTGTATTACATATTTTTAAAAACTTTATTAATTAATATTATTTAGTGTTGCAATTACTATAATATGTATAACTACATTATACATACTATTTAAAAAAAGTCCAAAAAATATTTAATGTACAGATTCAGCTTAATTAGAATTTTATAATTATGTATAGGTTAGTGTAATGTGTTACTCTTATAGGTATATATAAACTATACATATAATAAAATTGTAACTAAGCCGAATCTGTACATTAAATATTTTTTGGAAAGTCTTATTGAAATAGACATTATTATAGATACAGAGGCCGAATCTATAGTTTTTAGAATTTTTGTCTGTCTGTTACCACATCACGGAAAAACCACTGGAGGGATTTTGATGAAATTTGGTATGATGGTAGCTGGTTATCCGAGTCAATATATAGGATACTTTTTACCGCGGAAAAATATCTTATTTTTGAGAAAAAATACAAAAACTGTAATGTAAGAGTATACTAATATGTAAAACTTAAGAATTTGGTTTTTGGTCATCTGAACGTGGGCGGAGCCGCGGGCAATGCTAGTATACTATGTAGGTCTAACTATTGTCCATTTGTTTAATAAATTTCATTAATATACGTTTTTCAGCGTGAAAGATTACTCCTTAAACACACTAATAGATTCATATGAATTAACCCAGGTCGACGAAGAAGAATACCAGCGCCTAGGCCTTCGCCCCCGCCACGCGTACTCGGTGCTGGACGTGATAGAGGTGGCCGGCTACAGCCCTCCCCTGCGCCTGCTGCGGCTGCGCAACCCCTGGGGCCACTACACGTGGCGCGGCGCCTTCGCAGCCTCCTGCCCGCGCTGGACCGAAGCTCTGCGCAGGGCTCTGCCCCCCAGCAGCGCCGACAGAGACCAAGGGGTGTTCTGGATCAGTTTTGAGGATGTGCTCAAGTGAGTGGGGGTTTTGTTTGTTTTTTTTTTTGTGAGATAAGGAGAGTGTTTTTTTATTATTATATTTTATGAAACTTTTGTGTGGGAAGATATTGTATAAGTAGGTAGTTTAATAACTATTGTAATCTTGTGTTTTTTGAGTATTTGAAAATATGTTAATTGTTGAGCTGAAGCGATTTCTTATTCAAAATACAAAAATTATCAACAAAATATACTAAGCAGAGTGGATACAGAAGAAACTGGTAGTGGAGTAATATAGCGCAAGAGCTGTGAAATATACAAAATGTATATAACACATTGAAACTATTTTACAAAATTGTATCTTCTATTAAATAGTTCCTTAGATATGATTAAAGAAGCACACAATGTTGCGGAAGGATATTTTAAATGTCTATACTCTTAGGTATTATATATAATGTATTAGCCCTACTAAAGATATCACATAAAAAAACGCGCCTCACACTCTGCCAATTACAACTCTAATTGACCTTTTAACCTAGACGACACCTATCCGGTATCCATAACACAAGCCTCGTAGCATACCGTGGAACTAGATGGTGCTGTGTGTTAATGTCCCAACATATTTATTTATTATTTATTTTGTAGTGCCATTTTATGTCTTCACTGAGTGGAATATCATGACATGATAGATGTTCTAAACGTTCATCCCATCTACGCCAGATACTTCGACTGCATAGACATCTGCAAGGTGCGCGTGGGGTGGCACGAGGTGCGGCTGGCGGGCACGCTGCCGCCGCTGTCCTCCACGCGCCACCTCACCTGCCTGCTGCTCACCGCCACGCAGCCCACCGAGGTGGACTTCACCTTGTTCCAGGAGGGACAGAGGTAGGTTCCATCATCATCATATCATAATTTGGGTGCGAAAATATGTATTACTAGCGACTCACCCTGCTTCGCTCGGGTTCGTCCCTGGTTTGATTCACCATACAAACTTTCATCTCCATTTTCACCCGCTTAAGGGATGATTTCCGGGATAAAAAGTATCCTATGTCCTTCCCGGGGGCTCAAACTATATTCTTACCAAATTTCATCTAAAACGCTTCAGTAGATACAGACATTACCCCCTACAACGTCACAAACTCACAATCTCATAAAGTCACAAACTTTACCTCTTTATAATATCAGTATAGTCTAGCGACTCACCCTCGCTCCGCTCGCTCGGGTTCGTCTAATTACATTTTAACGTTTAGTATAGATTTCTCAGAGATGAGATATTTTATGTAGTATAAAATATCCCATATGTTACCGCAATCATGGCGACCAATGACAAAAGCATTCGAAACGTCGAGAACCAAAAACTAAAATAAATCCGTGTAAAAATCCGAAAAGGTAGTTTTATTGAAAATGTCAAATATATTATAAATGTAAATCTAAGAGAGTATTCCAATTTTCTTATCCAGAAATTCGGCTAAGAGTCAAAGATCACAGCTGGACTTATGCGTGGTGGTGTTCAGAACCAAGTCGGGTCCTAGCGCTCAGGTTGGGAAACTGGTTGCTCATAGTAAACGACAGGTTAGTTTTTCCATTTATGTATATGTATATTGTTTTATAATATGTATTGATAAGAATTAGCGTTCTTCCTTCGTAGGAAGATATAGTTCGACCACATTGGTAAGAGGCTTAAAATTTGTGATTATATTTTTTTTTTCATGTGGAAAACAAAAAAAAACTTTAAAAATTTGGTCGATACTCGAGGTATAAAAAAAATTCAGTTTGTGTTAAAGAAGAGCAAATCAATAAAGATAATTGTATAATAATGAGATATGTCTGAATAATGGTAAAAAAATTTCCCAAAAAGTTTCGAAGTTCTTATTATTATCTATATAAAATTACAGTATTAATATTGTTTTAAATTACATCTTTGAACTCAAATTCTTTTGACTATATTATATAGGTTAGAGGGTTTGTGGGTTGTCACAAAATGCTGGAGAAGGGGTTCTACCTGGTAGTGTGCCTCGCCTTCAACCACTGGCACACGGGGTTGGAACTGGCTGACAGCTCCGCCTGGCCTCGCCACGTGCTCGCCGCCCACTCCTCGAAACCCCTGGCGGTTGAGAGACCATCTCTTCATCCTCATATCCTGGCTGACGCGATCATAGGACTCACCCTGGCGAGGGGGCAACGGCACGAGGGGAGACAGGGAATGACAGCTTATTATTTGACTAAGGTGAGGTCTGTTTCGTGACCGTGATTGTTGTAATGCATGGAAACATTGGAAATCAAAATGGAAACATTGGAAATCAAAAATCGAAATGAGTCTGCAAAAAAATTAGAAAAAATACTAGCGATTTACCCTTGATTCGCTCGGGTGCGTCCCTAGGTACGTTTTAATGTTTTTGGTGAAACCCTAATTATTTTTCTAAAATAAAAGTAGCTTACGTTACTCCTCATAACATCGGCTATTTGCCAGTGAAAATCCCAGTAAAAGACTACCAGCCATTTCGGAGATTAGCCGGAACAAACAGACAAATAGATCAAAATTAAAAAAATCGTGTTTTTCTTATAAATACTTGTATCGTATAGAATTTCATATGCATTTAGTAAAAAGTTGTTATTTTGACTTTATAAACAGACACTTTAATTTTATTTATCCTTATAGATGTCAAAATATATTCGCGTAAAGCAAAGAAAATATTAACCTTGACCTTTAAAAAAATTGTAATTGACTAGTTTATAGCATCAATATTAAAACTAAAGTTAAATTTAAGTTTAGTGATTATTTTCATGAATTATTATATTACTAGCGGCTCACCCTCGCTTCGCTCGGGTTCACCTCTAGGCAAACAAAAACAAATCTATCCCACGGGAACTCTTTTAATTTTCCGGGATGAAAAGTATCTAAAATGTTGGCCCGTCCACCACATTGCAGAATTTAATATAAATCGGTTCAACAGTTTCGGAGATTAGCCCGTACAAACAGACAGACAGAGAAACAAAAAAAAATGATTGAAAAATGATGAGAAACTGGATTTGTTATGTTTCTCGTTTTACATCCCCCGGACTCGGGTTTTAGCATTTTTTTTCTATGTACAGACATTTGACCTCTACAGTTTTATTATATGTATAGATCATATCGATTTTCAGGGTTGGGCGGGTTTGGTGGTGATGGTGGAGAACAGACACACGGACAAGTGGATCCACGTGAAGTGCGACTGCCAGGAGAGCTACAACGTGGTGTCGACGCGCGGCGAGCTCAAGACTATAGACTCGGTGCCGCCGCTGCACAGGTTGGTTCGAGATTTTTGAATTGAAATTTTTTATAGGCAGGTTTGGATGGGTAGTAAATTCATGTAAGTCGTCATCGACATGGTCACGTGACGTGTTAAAGCTAAACTCAGAGTGCCGATAGATGTCGAAACCAGATAAATGTAAACAGTATTAATTTACAAATTTTAATTTATGATCAAACAATTGATTTGAATATCCAAAAATAACAACTGTTTGTTTATAGTTTTAAATTTTCACTTCTGTCGGCGGTCCTCATGGCAGCTTCTTTTTTCTTTCTTATTTTATTATATAGTTGCGTTTTCTGGTAGCTTTGTACGCGTAGTTTAATCATGTAATACTATTTCTTTAAAAATTATATCTTTCGTTTTACTCTGTGTTGTTAGTTATATTACTGTAAAATTTCATTAAAATCCGTTTAGTAGTTTTGGCGTGAACGAATAACAAACATCCATCCAATTTTCGCTTTTATAATATTAGTGGTTCTAGCGACCTGTCAGTCGCCATAGGTACGTTTTAAACAGATAAATAAAAATATCATTAAAATAACAAATTGTTCAATTATAATCTTATATTATTATTATTTTACATTAAGAATTATTATTTTGCTAGTGGGTAGTCTTCTTTTATGTAGTAAGAAGTTTTTTTTTAATTTTCTATATTTGTATTTTTAGCCCCATCGTGATCAAAGTTATCACTATAGGTCTAATTTTGCCGCTCTTTTTCTAAGCCTTCTCACGGACTCGTATGTTGTTTTGCTCGCATTTGATGCTTAGTGTCTTATTTATGACTAGCATTGCCCACGGCTCCGCCTGTGTTCAGATTACCAAAAACCAAATTCTTAGGTTTACATATTAGTATACTCTTACAACGCAGTTTTTGTATTTTTTTTAGAAATGAGGTATTTTACCGCGTTAAAAAGTATCCTATATGTTGACCCGGGTAACCAGCTATCACCATACCAAATTTCATCAAAATCTGTCCAGTGGTTTTTTTGTGATGCGGTAACAGACAGACAAAAGCTCTAAAAATTATAGATTCGGACTCTGTATCGATAATAATGTCTATTTCAATAAGATTTTTCGAAAAATATTGAATGTACAGATTTGGCTTAGTTACAATTTTATTATATGTATAGATATTTAGTATAGTAATAACCATAAAATGAACATTGTAACGTAAAATTTTGCAGACAAGTGATAATAGTGCTGACCCAGCTGGAGGGCAGCGGCGGGTTCTCCATCGCGCACCGCCTCACGCACCGGCTGGCGGCGGCCGCGCGCCTGCAGGACTGGGCGCCGCGCGACGACGCGCCGCGCCACCGCCCGCCGCTGGCGCGCCGCCTGGCCGGCCTGCACGCGCCGCGCCTTATCACGTAGCCGCCGCCGCATAGCTGTCACACACCAGGGACGCAGGGGGACTGCGCATATGTACAGACTATACAGTAACTCGTCGCTACCGCGGATGGAGACGTTCATATCCCATACATCGTGGTTATTGGTAATGTCACATAGCTGTCACGACACTCTTCATACTTTGTACTTATAGCTACGTGCCAGTTAATGGAGACTGCGAGTATATACAGACTATTTTATATCTCACGGCTACTGGTAGATATGCAGCGAACGTAGTGTTGCTGGAGACTGCCAAGGACACTGCAGATATATAGATACTATCTCATAACTCATACAAGCATGCATGCTGTTAGTAAAAAGGGCTGCAGATATTTATATACAGATTATTTAATCGCTAATAGCTACCAGTGACGGAGAAGGGAACTGCAGACACATAATATACCGTGGCTGGTTATAACGATGCTTCTTCGACTGTCCCTCGCAGAAGTAGTAGTTTTTTGCTACTATGTCTTGAACACAACGATAGCGCGATTCAGACTTGCTAGTAATTATGCAAAACTTAGGTATGCAGCCTTTCATCTCACTCTATCGTCCGCTCGTTTTATTTTATCATTTTGCCTCTTCAATACAAGGGGGATCAGATCATAGTCCACCACGCTGGTCAAGTGCGGGTTGGCGGACTTCACATGTCTTTCGAAAACTTAATAATAATTAATTGATGACGAGTCAAATAATTCGTGTTGCTAATTGGGTTATTTGCGACATACGAAAGACGAATTTGCAATCTCCATACTACAAACCACAGTATAAAAAACATATATATATATATATATATATATATATATATATATATATATATATATATATATATATTGATGTTAACGAAAATCCCGCCATATACATGGGTAGTCAAACAAACGATTTTCATGGGGGCTTATTCGAAATTAAAACATTGTTGTGTCATTTAATGGCAAGTTATATTCATCAACTCCTAAGCCGTATCCCGACTGCCATATAATAATTTTATATGTTAGTCGGTATCGGTTCGTTTTCATCTCTCCCCGAACACCTCTCACGACTTATCTGTCTAGATGCCTTTAGTAGACTATATCATATGAGTATACTTTGATAGTGTATTATATATGACAAGTCAAAATCAATTTGTTTTGTCAATTGGCACAAGTATATGCCACATACGGGAATGGAATTTCCATCCAAAAACAATGAAAGTAGTATAAAACTATTACTATTGTACCAATAACTTTTGATCAATAAAACTGTTTTTTTTTCTATATTCAATTATAAAGAAACAAATAGTTTTTATGTAATATTATTTATTATTAGCGAACTTAAATTTAATTATTTGATAATTGAATGATAAAATACAGACTCAAATAAGCAATGACAGTAATAATTTTTCGCACTATATATCGACCCCTCAAGGGATATATTATATAAAACACATATAATATGTCATACATAAACCCCTTACAAGGTAGCCAGATAGCATACGACTACGATCTTTACGATCTCACTCACTCACTGATTAATTAACTAATAACTAATATTTCATAAACTATACTGGGATTAATAAAATATCAAAATTGGAAATTGCATCGTAGCACGAGTGTGTGACCGTGTGCGGTAATAGAGTGTCGGTATCGAACCCGAGCACAAAGCTTTCGGTCTTTCGGAGCCATAATATGAGAATGAAGGAATAGATAGCGCATACATTAGTGTACTATAGTATCTCCTTTTTAATTGGCCAGTCTCAGTGAGATTGACAATGTTTAGATGGACAGTTTTAAACTGCCTCACATATGGTGACTTTCTATAGACGATATCGCTAATAGATAACTAAGTAATCTATGGGTAAATAATGGAATGGGAGGGAGAAATGACGTTCTGGTTTCTGATCACGTGACATAGCGCTTAAATATTTTGACATTTACGTTTGTTTTAGTTTTCTATTAGCGATATCGAATATAGAATTTTATCTTTTCTATCAATGGTTAACAATAAATTTAATACTTAAAAACCGTAATGTATAGACATTGAATATTTGATAACTTATTATATAAAGTATTTATAGAGAACAAATAACACAAGTTATTTTTCAACGGGATAGTCCTAATCAATGTACGGATAATTGTATAAAGTGTTTATGGTAATAGTTGTATGTAGATGGGTAAAGCATTTTCTAACTAGTCCATTTTGGTTGTTGTGTATTGCTGTCTCTTTTCAATTACGTATGTGAGAGTGAGAGGGATATATATACGAGTATATATACATTTCATAATGTTCAGTTTAAAAGAAACGTGAGTTGTAAGTTTTTTTTTGAAATTGTTATGTAAAAGACATTTACTGCTATTTATGCAGGTTTTTGGTATTGTATTTTCGATTTTTTTAATTGTTTAAATAAGCTCATTTTGGATTTAGATTATTTGCTTTAATTTTTTGTGTATGTGTTACGTTAGTCCACTGTCCGATATTTCTTTATTTTAGGTTATTTGAATTTATTCAATGTATGTTATTAAGGAGCTGGCGAACAAAAGGGTGTAACTGCATAATTTTATCCGACTGCGACCTTAAAGTGGGGTTAAAACTGTGATTTTAATGTGAAATAAATGAAATAAAGGAGACAAAATTATGTGATAAAATTGAAAAATTTCTTTTTTTGTAAATTCTTAAACTTTAACGACTAAAATTCATTGAAGAACTCGTGACTAAGAGGTTATAATTTTTAATAATTTTGCAGCTACCCCTTTTTGTTCGTTGCTTGCATTATTGACATATTTGTTCGTAAAATTGACGACGTCTATACTTAATTATATTACATATAACTTTTTTGTAATACTCGAATATATTTAAGCTATTTTTTTATTATATTTATTTAAAAAGACAATTCATATCATATTTATAATTGGAGAGCTTGCGATCCATTCCAATACTCATTAAGCATTTGTATTGATTTTATATTTATATCGTACGTAAGTAAAAATACTTGCCATTAATTTTAACATGTATCTGGCCTAGGACTTTGAAACGTGCAATATTAAAAAACACACATACATACACACAATCGTATTTTTTTAACGTTTCAGCACAAAAATATTACACAAAGGAAGTAATCATTAGGTATAGCTCGATAGTATAGAATCGTGCGACACAAAATCGATTTTATAAATTGTTTTTACGCTTAACGTCACATAGTACGCTTTAGATAATTTTGTGTCGTACGTAGTTGTAAATTAAATGGGCACTTGTAAATTTTTTACCATCTTAATCGTAGCACGAGTGTGACCGTGAACGGTAACGGGGTGTCTACATCGAACCCGCACTCTACATTCTCGGTGTAAACCCTTTCTTAAGTGTAAGATAAAGTAATTTGTACACTATAAGCTTTTATAACAAGTGTTGATCTTTTTGGGAGGTTGTTTTTTTTCACGGTTAACAGTTAAGGCTATATACTTTACGTGCCATATTTGTTAGGGGGTTGGGCAATTTTAGTTTCTATACCGCCGTTACGATGGAGACCGATCTGACATTGACAGTTGACATTGACACGTGACAGATGAATCGATGATTAAAAATTTGGTTTTAGGTTTAAATGATTTGGTTTTTCATTAAATGTCATTGTTTTCATCGTAACGGAATTGTAGTGGAACTTTTTGATAAACTAATATTACCAGTTGACCTCCTGGATTTGGTGTGTTTCTTGCTTTGTATTTATGAGAATGACACGTTATATTACGTTATCGCTTTTATTATTTAATATGGCGTATTTCTTTTTTAATATTCAAAAATATATCCCATTTTCTTTTTGTTGGATGAAGACTTTAAATGTATGTGGTTTTATTGTTTAAATTAGTTGTGTTAGACCAATTTTCACCATTCGATTGTGAACCAGTTAACGGTTACCTGTTAGAAAATAAGCATTTGGTATGATTGTGTATGTAAAATCAATTTTTTTTATATGAAAATACTTTTTTAACGTTTTTATTGTAATAAAAAAGAGGCTATATGTTAATGAAGGAAAGGATACTGATAAAAATAGTTATTTTGTTTATAAATCTTATGTTTTAAGACATACTAGTTGATATAATATTTATTTATCCATTTGTTTGTTAATGAACTTTTTAACTTATTTTACATATCTTCTTCCTACAAAAAGGAAATCGATTTTTTCTTTTTTTTGTGTAATATCCAATACACAAGCAAGAAACATGTGTTTTAAGGGTTTTGATATCACTGTTTATTTATTGACTATCTACGACTCGTAGCATGTTGTTTTGTAGCAAAAACGCTTATTTTACGTGTTAGCAATACGAATGCATGTTATATTACTTAAGAATAAGTGAATAAAATTATTTAAATTTGAACTTTTTCGTGTTTTTCTTACATCCTTTGACATTTAATGCGAAATAGTTTCAATGGCAGTGGCAGTAAATTAAAAATACATATCTATAGCTTTTTTTCTTGTGAACAAAGTGCGCATTATGATAAAAGTTAAAAAATTATTTGCTTACATTGGTTCAAATGAATTCTTTGTAGAAGTAAAATCTTTAAAAGCAAAAAAAAGATTCTATCATTAATACTAAACAAATAATAATACTAAAGAGATGGGAGAATTTACAATTTTTTTGTAAATTAGGTAAAGTTAGGTGGTTTCTTTTAACCTGGAAACTAGGGTTTAACAAGTGAAATATGTTGAATAAAGAGAAAATGCTAGAACTGTCAGTCGAATTTCTTTTTTTAACTAGCTATCTATGGCGATGTACATAACATATTTTCAAAATATAATGCCAATAATCCAGTTATTTAGCAATTTTAATTCGAAAATTTTCCTTGAGTTTTGAAAATTGATGAGTCTGACATTTTAATAGTGCTCTTTCCGATTTTTCACTGTTCTTGCGCCGTCATATTATTGGAAAAATGGGACTCAAATAGTTTTTTGACAATATCTCCTTTCCGGCTCACTTTCGATCATTATAGTTCTATAATAAAATAATACTAACTTT